AGACGTGCAGCCATTAAACACTTGTAGGGTGGAAGACACAACAGCATCTGCATGGCCAGCCAGAGGCGTGTTGTCTGCCGTATGAAACTGTTCAGTAGCGCTTGTCTGCCACCGCTGTTTGGTTGTTTGGGTGTTAACACACTATATTTGCGTTGAAAGGAACCGGTGAGGCCTGGCATAGGGCTTCACGCGCTTGGGGCTCTTCATACAGAGTTTATGTGTGAAGATGAGGTATGACTGACCTGAACTAAGAGAGGACGAAGCGGCGTGGGTGACAGCCGGGCAGAAAGAAGAATCCAGACTTACCAATGTTTCAACCGTAGGCCATCTTCAGGTTGAGGTTAGAGTTGGGTTAGATAAGAAAAAAGAGTGAACTGCCACAAAATACCAAAGCGGAAAGGCGAATGGAAAGAAGGGAAAAAGTTGCTTCGGTGCCTCGTGGCGACTCATACCTCTTTCCGTTCTAACCCAACTCTGCCCCTCACCTGAAGATGGGCTAGGTTTGACACACTGTGGGTCTCTGTTCCTCTCTGTGCTCGGATTTCACCATCGCGGCACCGTCTTCTCTTGGTTCAGTTCAGTCAGCCGTTGCGCTCGCATGGGGATTGATGGTGATTTTAACTCCAATACATCAATATGCCGTATAAGATACAGGAGGCCTTCCGCCAGCTGCGCATTCCCCACACGTCCGATTATTTGGAATCTTCCTTCAATGGTAGTGGCAGCCAGTGATGCTGCTTGTTTATCCCTGATCTGCCTGTAGCAAGCAAAGCCCGTCCGGACAGCCCAGTCGGTCAGGGTGCCGATCTGCGGCTGGGCTCGAGTCGTTTCAGCCCCTCGCTGTTTGCACTGACAAGGACTGTGACTCGGTCACGCTAAAGGTCAGGTGGCGCCAGAGGCCGTTGACTCGGAATCTCACGATCGAATGGTGGAGGTCAATGGTGGATGTCACAGCTCAGGCAGCGTTCGCTGCTTTGTGTGGGCGCTGATTCCACAAACCCCATCCAATCAAAAGGCCGGAACTTAGTCTAGGGAAGCTTCGATGTACAGGAAGTGGCCCTGCATCTCCTTATGTCCCCTCACCGCTCGGAACTTCTAACGTCGCGTATATCCTGCTGTAGCGCCATTCTGCTGTTGGCGTCGAGCACAGCTGCACTGCCGACGTCAGCGTTCGCGGAACGCGCTGACTCCGGCCTCCCCGCTCCGGCAGGTGTCGCTGCGTGACGTCACAGAGTCCACCTTCCGCGTGCTGCTGCACTTCATGTACAGCGACTCGGTGCCCGCCATCCGGCCACAGGAGTGCCTGCCGCTGCTGCAGCTCAGCAACCGGCTGTGCCTGCAGCGGCTGCTGACGCTGGTCGAGCGCACCACGGCCGAGCAGCTGGAGCAGGCGGCCGCCGACGGCCAGGACTGCGTCGAGCTGGTGCTGGCGCTGCTCGAGCCCGGACAGGTGTGTCGCTGCCGCCCCCCCCCCCCCCCCCCCGCCCGGCCGGCTCTGGGGCTGCGACATGGGGGCCCCCATTAGCAGCCCCAGCCGCCTCCAGTGGGACGTGGCGCCCAGCCGAAGTAAGACACTCCGTTTGTGCTGTATTTGGTGCACCGGAAAGTGTGCTGTGTGTGGGCTGACGCTGCCATGTGTTCGCTGTGGTGCGCTGTGTGTGGAGAGTGTCAAGTCGTTTTCCCATGTGCGATATTGCGGCGAGTGTCACGCTGGTGTGCTGTTGAGTGTGACAAAGATGCGCCGGTGAGTGTGACATGTGAGAAGTGTGTGAGAGGTGACGCTGCTTACTGTGAGTTTGTGCTGACAAGCCCTCCGCTTGCGCTGCATATACAATGCGCTGGTGTGGACGCTGCTGTGCCGTGCGTGATGCGCTGGTGTGGACGCTGCTGTGTCGTGCGTGATATGCTGGTATGAACGCTACCGTGTCGTGCGTGATGCGCTGGTGTGGACGCTGCTGTGTCGTACGTGATGTGCCGTATTTGTTGTGCCGGAGAGTGTGACGCTGGCCCGTCCTGCGCAGTTGCACAATGCTGATCAGCTGTCAGACTGGTGCCTGCACTACTTGGCCATCAACTATGACACCATATGCAAACGCTACCCGAAGCAGGTGCGCGCGCTCCACCCGGAGAATCAGGCGTACCTCAACAAGCACCGCTGGCCACCCACCTGGTGAGTGAGGCTGGCGCTCTGTGAGGGCATGTTTGCAACTTATTGTGCACCTATCTACCAATTTATAATCTCACCAGCCCTGCCCCAATTCCGTCCATTTGCTAAGTTACATATCAAATTCTGTCCGGCACGACGTGCTAAGATCTCATCTAAAAAAGAAATGTGGCATTTGTATGCCGATGTGAGGTCCTTCACTAAAGGCATGAAAAGGCAAGTCCTCCCTTCTTGTGCGGAAGTAGCATCGCTCCCACGTCGTCGCATACGAAGGTGTGCATTGCAAAAACGTATCGTCTTTTCTCCTGTCGCCCGTGACGGCGGTCTTGTATGCCATCCCAATCCACTACACAGAGGCAGATGCGCCATGCGTGAAAGCACGTATCGTTCCCAAATTGGCATTCGCGTCTCCTATTCATTGTGCTCGTCAGTCCCCATTCTAACCCAGTCACGACCAATGCTCCATAAAATTGTGCGACGCACTCCAGTCCTCCAGTTTATAAATTGAGGCGCCATTCGCGGAACGGTCCGATCAGCGCCGAGCTGCAGTGACGAGCTGCAGTGGTGGGATGCGGTCCCGCTCTCGGCAGTCGGACAGCGGGCGGCACAGTCGACACCGTCGACGCTGCCCGCTGTGACGGTCCCGCTCTCGGCAGTCGGACAGCGGGCGGCGCAGTCGACACCGTCGACGCTGCCCGCTGTGACGCTGCCGCGTTCTTGAACGGGACGACAAAGAAGCCTCCACACTACTGTCTGGGGAGACGGAAATTAGCTGTGGGGCTTGAATGACGTCAGGGTGGTAGATGCTGGTGGCGGTTTTGGTGTAAGAATGGCCCCTGTTCTAGTTCTTGTTCGGGAGTTGTCCTTACTTTCAGGGTTATTCACGCAAAACGTAGGCACAGAACTCCATCTGGAGCTTGGCCAATGATGCCCACGTGGAGCGTTGGTGGTGTGCACGGCTCTCTTCCGGTGCATGAAATCGCTGAGCTGTTTGGAATAGCCCGTGGTAGCGCGCCGGCCATGGAACCTTTGCGTCGGATCCGCGAGGATGGGTACCGTTCGGACATTTCATTTACCGCAACAGTCACCCTTTTTTCCTTCGCCTCACCTTACCGCTCACCTCTTACTGATGACGTAGTCGTGAGGCGAGCACTGCTGGCTGAAAGGGCTTTGATCCCGATCAAACGAAACCAGAATTTATCTGCTACTCTCATCTACAGTGTTCAGATGAACACCGAGTTGGTAACGTCGGTCGTGCTCTGTCGTTAACTCCAGGTACCTGAAGGACTACGACTGCTACGAAAGGATGCTGAGGGAGAGGCAACGCGAGGAGAACCCCATCAAGCCATTCAAACGCACGCGCACCATCTCAGGGTGTCTCTGCTTCAGTGGCAAGCGCAAGCAGCAGACGGCGCACAGCGTCTGACATCTACCGGCCGGAGCCGTCAACACAAGTCGTCAGGCCCGCCCGCCAGGCGGCTCCGACTGGTGGAGCCTGTGCTTCTGGAGCGGCACGGCAGGAGCCGTTTGGGTGTGAGACAGCGCCAAAGACACGAGTCGTTTGGGCGAAAGGCGTCAGTGGCAGGAGCCGTCTAGGCCTGAAGCGCCAAAGACAGGAGGCGTTTCGGCCTGATGCGCCAATGGCGGGAGCCGCCTGGGCGTTGGGCGGCGCCAATGGCAGGGCCATCTGGGCGTGAGGCGGCGGCGGTGATGCTGTATTTTCAGGGCTGATTTGTACGCCGGAGCTCGTGAGGAAGCGCATTGCTACGAGACCACGCCATCGCCTGTCCCATTTTGAACAATGCAACTCTCGCCTAGTGGTGGACACGCTCGCACGCCGCCGGCTATCTGCCCTTCTCGGGGAGAGCGTCATCAGTGTACTCGATCACGGCGCTCGCGCCTTATGAGAGGTCTCGCGCCCTGCATGGAGCCGATCGTCGCCTGCCAGGACAAGTCAACGCCCTCTGATTCCACGGTGCCCGGCGGGTTACCACATCTGTACAAATCATGCTGTCTTGTCGCGCGCACGTGCCGTCGAAAGCACGCATCTGGCGCTGCCTGCTTCCGCTGTGTGTTCTGCTGAACGCGCGCTGCATGCGAGCCTGACACTAGACTTTTCTACCGTCCCTGTAGGCCCTCTGTGTGCGACAGCGGGTGTTCTCCATAGCCCCGCGAGCCCGGCGGGGGCGGAAGGAGGGCAGGTGGCGCCGCTTGTCACGTCGGCTGGTGCCCGCAGGTTCAGGGGGTGCGGGGGGAGGGGGTGGGGCAGGCGCCGCCGCTCCTGCCGGCCGTCGCCCGCAGGTCCAGCGCGACTGGGCCGCCCGCCGCACGGCCCAGCCCGCTCAGTAACCAAAGAGCCCAGCGAGCGGATCCGTCTCGCGCCCCGGTGTCTGTCCGTCTGTCTGTGTGTCTGTGTGTGCGTGTCTGTGTGTATGCGCGCGCGCATTCGGACGAGCGCTCGCCCATGGGACGGCGGCGGCGGCGACCGCTATCGGTGTGTGGCGTCCGACGGTGGCGCGCCGGACACTAGCTGTGATACTCCGCACTGGCGGCGCCGCTGTCGCCCGCCCCGCCCGGCACCGGCCGCGGGCCGGGCGGGGCGGGCCGACGGCGGCGGCGCCGGCTCTCCGCGCCCCGGCTCGCCCGCTTCGGCACGCATTCCTGGCGCCTCGGCACGCGCTGGTCACCGGTGTGTACATAGCTTTAGACGGCTGCGCGGCGATGCCCGCCGCCGGTACCAAGACATCGCGTGCTCGACATAATTTTCTACGTGTGTAGATGTTCGAGGCTCCTGTAGCCTGCCAAAACTCCAGTAGCATTTTGCTATGTGATTTTCATGAATAAAGCAGATATATTTAAACAGACACATTTCCTCTCACTCTCTTAGCCAAAGGAATCGAGGTTTTTCTCGGCTCACAGCCAGCAACAGCGGACGTGGCCAGGTATGCCAATGTCCCTCGACCACACACGACAGTCATTAAATTAGGCTCCACACACGAAGCTCGCTCACACAGTGCTGACATAACCACTAGATCGGCCGCGGGCGGCCACTAAGGCTGGCTCCACAGGGTCACTTGCTCCGGCCCGACACGACTACCAAGCAGGGCTCGCCATGGTTACTAGGTCGCGACGCCGCCGCTGAAGCCACTTCAGGACCAGCAGAACTGGTGACCAGCGCAAGCGTGACGTGCCACTTGACCGGACCTCCAGGCCCAGACGAGTGACAGCTAGCTCAGACTCGGTTCGTTCACATGGCCGCACACGACTGGTCATCAGCCCAGCTCCGCCCGGTCATTGGGCCGCGCGGCACGTGGTCACTAGGCCACGCCCGAGCTGGGCGCTGTCCGTGGCGGCGCCGGCGGCGTCAGCGCAGCTTCTGGAAGAGGACCGCCGAGCCGTGACCGAGCTGGCCGCCCTCCGGACACGGCCGCTCGGCGTGCCGCCAGCCGCGCGCCTCCGGTCGCACGCCCAGCTTGTCTGCCGGAGCACGGGAGCGATCAGCGGCCGAGACAGGTCACAGCGCATCCCACTCCCAGTCAGAGGCCGCCGGCTGAACCCCAGCTGCTTCGTGAGCCCTTCACCGGCGACTCGCGCCAGTCTGTGCGCAGGGTAGCTGCACCCGTCCGGGACGGATAGCGGGAGGTAGCGTCGGGGACACGGCAGTGCTTGGTGCGCTGAACAGGCCGCCAAGTCATCAGGTTGGCTGGGGCGGACAGCTCACAAACAAGGCCAAAGGCAAGCCGGACACTTGAGACATTCACGTTTGTGGAGAAGAAGAGCAATGGGTGCATCGACACCATGATCAGTCAAGCGTTGCAAAACACAGATCTCGGATTTCATAGCATCTTGGCCGAGAGGGATAAACGCGACACCTAAGCGGCGATGATTGCGGGCCCACGGCGCGGTACTCTGTGTCATTCCCACTGTTGTAAAGGTCCGCTTGGCCCGGGGCCCAGGCCCTTCCAGCCACATCTCTTGAAACAGCAGACTATATGGTCGCATTGGCCTTGTATCGGTCTTACTGGAACTGTCGTGCTGTTCTACACAACCTACCGCATGACGAAAGTTTGCGGGGCTGTGATTATAATGGAAGACAGGGGCGGTCGGCGAGTTACCGTGATCGCGACTACCTAGACGTGCCAACGGTGAACATCTGTTGCATTGCACCGCCAACGACGCCAGCGATCGCTTGCTTAAAGCCACCTGCATGTTCTACGGTCACTAACGTTACAGCGGCCTGATGGACACTGGGTGAACGGAAGCTGCCTCAGGTGGGAAGATTCCCTAAAGCAACTGGCATGTCCCACTTCGGTAAGCTCTCCCGTGCCAGTCATCGCAGTGGCAGACGTTCGCAGTAGGCTCTCTTTCACCAGCTCCTATAAGAGAAGACATATCGAACAAGACATTGCAAAATGGCCAAATGTGCCCGCACACTAAGTTGACCGCTTCGCAAGATACTTAAGACAAAGCCTTCAGATGCCCTTCTGTTTCCGGGTTGACCTTCGAACCTGACCTCGAAACCCTCACAGCCCGAAACGTGTTGTCCAGTGTCAGATGGTCTAGTACCGGGCAGCGAACCGCCCACCATCGAGCGCCCAACACGAATACGGAACAGAATATAGTACAGAAACCGTACCCAGCGTCATCACCCACCACTTCCCGCGTGCCGTGGACGAAAGGCGAGTGTACGTGTTAGAGCTGCTTGATTTGTCCGAGTGCCACGATGACGCGTCGCACCGGCAACCGCTGGCACAGCTGGTGCTGTACGGCGTGGAGCGGGCGGTTCAGCGATTACCTGTGAGGCTACACTCAGCAAGTGCAGACGTTCTACAGTGAAGGTACCCTTTCAGACCAGACTTCCACAGTGAAGGCCTATACGGTCTGGGACGAAGCCAAATACAATCGACGCATTCCAGGGTTGATCCCTCAGCTGTATGCTGTCTGCCGTGTTCTCGGACGATCTGAGCCCATTTGTACCCGAATTCGTCCGTGTCGCACAGCTTACTGACAACACACAACGGCTCGTCAGCGGTACGCAGAGTGGCATGCCACCGACCTTTCGCCGCGCCGAGCAGGCCCCTGAACGCTTTCATAACTGGCTTTGTGCGAACATGAAGCTGAACACGACCAAAACCTAAGCTCGTGTACTCGATACGCCAGCCATGCTTAGAGGCTCGGTACCCTGTTTCCCTGAGTTTCTTCAGCGCCGTGATATCCGAACCCAGATTTGTGAAAAAAATGGGTTTTTATGGACGAACATGTCAGTTTTAAATTGCATGTGAATCAAATCACGTCCATATGCATCCTCATTGGTCTCGCGCATGCTAAATAAGCAACATCGAACGCTGTTCTTGCAAACATTGTTCTGACTCATCGCTCCCATCGTCTGATACTCTACATCGTTGCATGGCACGTGCAACGTCGCGCAATTTCACAGGTTGCTAAAAGCGAATGCTGAATTTCGGTGGCCGTGCGACCAGTGGCAGACGCAAACGCCACCCCGTCAGTGAGGTTTTCAAACAACTTAACTGGCCTGACGCACACAGCCTTGTAAAGTATTATAATATACGCATGATCCATGCAGCCACGACAGGCAGACCTGAGCTAAACGTTTGCACCATCGGCAGCGCACCACAGCACCATGTATGAGACACGAGGTTCCATCCGACACGTATTACCCATAATGTTTATGGAGACAGGCCGTCGCCGTCTTTGCTACGGTCGAGTACAGGAGCGCGATGGGCCCGGGCTACTGTAAACTTGCGGGAATCTCACATACCATCTGAAGCGCCACTTTCTGTGTATGCAGCACGGTGATACGTGGTGCATGTAAGAACACCGGTGTATGTTAAGTGAGTCCGAATTGCTCTGTGCGACCTGACCCACAAGTCCACGCAAGGACGCTGCGTCTGCTACATCACAAAATACGGACGGAATTTCACCATTTTCTCACGATAAGCACGTACCTCGGAAAAACCGACGTTTTTTGTCAATGTTTTGCGTACGCACGCACATCATACGCACAGATCCGCCGCCTTTTCCACGGTCTGCGAATCCTGAATGGACTTCCGTCCATTATGACGACGGTCATCCAGAATCTTGAACAAGTTACTTACCGAGGAGACGACCAGCCAACGAAGGGACCACGGGCTGAAGCAGAATTCCCGCCACCCGCAGCGTCTCCATGGCAACGGCCAGACAGCTGTGAAGCTCTGCTTCTCTCTCCGGTTGTTTCCGCAGCACCCACGGCTCTTTCAGTTGTACAAACTGCAACCAACTGAAGGTGAGGACCAGCCATTGCTGCCGATAGGTGGAGATGCACAGAGCGGTCGGACGAGGTCATCTACTGTAGGTCCTACGGACCCATGTTGCATTATGTATCGAGCAGAAAGCGGGGGCATCAAGATGAACAAGATCGGTACACACTGCTAAGCACTGCCAAATTCAATTATGTCCCACAGGCGAAAAGCAGCAACAAGCATCTTCCACCCTAATCTCACTCTGAAAAGCGTTTTCCAGTCCCCAATTACAGGCAAAATATCATTCAAACACCGAAACAAAAATCTGAATCACTCAAGGGGCCCACTGTACGCAAAAAATCACCACTCGTAACGGCTATGCTCGCCACGGTAGACTGGACCTCTCCTGCCTACGTCTCCGTATTGAGCCGGCCGCACGCCCCCGACAACTGAGCCCGGCGCCCACCTGATTGGCGCTCCGCAGCGCGGCCTGCACCGCCTCCAGGCCGCGGTAGAAGCAGAACTCGTCGTACGCCTCGCCGACCGCTGCCGGTAGGCTGGCTACCGTCTGCAGCAGCAGGTCAGCCTCCGGACCGCCGGCCCCGCCCGCGGCAGCGGCGGCGGACCGGCGCTGCTGGCCGGGGTTGACGGCCGCCGCCGCGCAGCGGCCCAGCAGGTTGCCCAGCGTGTCGGCCAGCTCGGCGTTCAGCAGGTTGGCGGCCTTCTTACGGCTGAAGTCTGCGGCAGGGGTGACGGCCGCCGGTCGACGGATGGCAGGTGGCGAGCGGCGCCAGACGAGTGGCACATGCGTCGGGCCCGATCACTAGCTGCCAACTTATTCATTGCACGAGTCGACGATTGCACTGTGTTCAGTACGCGGCGATTTCTATTCGTGACCCACCGCGCCAGAGTGACGTTCGTCCCCAGTGACCGACTCCCTCCCCACCCCTTCAACAGACGCATTGCAAAAGCAATGCAGGTGACACCGTGGTGAACCCAAGTCTCACGACCATGAAGCTGTCGCCTCACAGCACCTGAAAGTTTTACACCCACTGCCGTCCTAATGCGTCGCCCGCGCCAGCCAGGAGTGTCTCCTGCATCTGTCCGGCTGTGGCCCCTGCCGACTCACTACCGTCCTCATGCGTCGCCCGTGCCAGCCAGGAGTGTCTCCTGCATCTGTCCGGCTGCGGCCCCTGCCGACTCACTGCCGTCGGAGTGTGGCACGCCCTCGCGCAGCAGGAAGTAGCGCAGCCCATCGGCCGTGTAGGTGCGCAGCGCCTCGTCCGCCGACACGACGTTGCCGAGGGACTTGGACATCTTGACGCCGTCGACGGTCCAGTGGCTGTGACAGAGCAGGAGGCGCGGCGGCGCCAGGCCCGCCGCCAGCAGCAGCGCCGGCCAGTACACGCCGTGGAACCTGCGGCCGGCCGGGCGGACGCCGTCACCTCGCCGGGCCCGCGACCGCGCTCTCCGGCGACCGGCCGCGACAGGGCCGGCCTCAGCGCCGGCGGCCGGACCACGCGCCGGTCGCGCCGTAGGTACACCGGTGCAGGGCGCGCGTGCTAAAAGCTGGTGGGAAGCCACCAGACTGAGGAGCGATCGATGTCGTAACGATGAAGTTAACCGACGGGACGGAGTTAACCCCGGCTGCGCAAAAACACGAGACAGTCTGTAGGAACGCGGTTTTATAGATATTCCCCGCGGCGCAGGCCCCCGAGAGGCGACTCAAGTTCAAAGCCTTCACCGATCAAAGCAAGTCGGACGGGACAACTCACTTGAGAATGTCCTTGCCGATCACTTGACAGTCCGGGGGCCAGCGCTCCAGCTGTCCGGGGTACCCGCTGGCGGTCAGGTAATTGACCAGGGCGTCCAACCACACATACACCACCTGCTGGTCATCTCCTGAAACACGCCCGCCACCTCCTGGTCGTCACCCGAGCGTGGTCAGCCGTTCGCGCGGTCGATACTGACTGGCCATCGCCAGAAGTCAAGATGACGCCGTGACGTGTGCAAAGGGGTGCACGGCGACACGCGCGGTGCACGGCTCTGCCCGCGATGTTGCTCACACACAACAAACAGGCAACACGGCGAGACCGTTAACAGGTGGCATAGCTGCGACGGACCGTCACAGTCCGTGTCTCTGGGCCGGCCCTGGTGGGTCACTACGGGCCACGTCTTCGGGCCGCAGGAGGGTAGCAACATCTGGCTGCTTCCTCGCAGCCAGATGCCCCCTCCCCCGCCCCCCCCCTCCACAGCTGAGTTTGCCCGGGTTCACGTCAAACCGGCGGCAACAACGAAGCAGCGTGTACACGCAATGCACTGAAGCTGTGCAGTGCTGGTCGCCGGTGCGTTGTTGGGGCTAGCCTGTGTACCCGCCGGTGGGTCGTCCCCCCACCATCTGAGTCCGGCCCGGTGCGTTGCCGGGGCTAGCCTGTGTACCCGCCGGTGGGTCGTCCCCCACCATCTGAGTCCGGCCCGGTGCGTTGCCGGGGCTAGCCGGTGTCTCCGCCGGTGGGTCGTCCCCCCACCATCTGAGTCCGACGGTGTTCGCCGTTCGAGCGAAGGTCTTATGGGTAACATGGCATGAAAAATGGTGTGACGAAGAATCACGCTGAGCCCATCGATGCCTGACTTTACCTAGGAACATCTACCACGATACAAAGACCTATTATCAACGTCATCACGTTAACTGGGCATTTTGTTCATGCCTCCATAGGCATGTCTGTGTTTTAATCCTGTCAATATGCTATGCACGTTAAGTAAGTAAAACTAGAACATATCTGCAAAAGTGTGCGGTGCTTTAAACGTCACGGCGTAACCCCATGACTGTTGCACAAATGTTTGCAGCGATACAGTTGTTATCGCTCGAGCTGTCACTGCAACCACAACAGAAAGCTGCTATTCGGGCGCGGGAGCCCACGTCGCCCGGTGGCTGACCTGGCACCGGCCTGATGACGGACCTGGCACGGGACCGTTGACTGACCTGGCACTGGCACGCCCCAGTCCAGTCGGCTGACCGGCCTGGAGACGGACAGGTCGGGCAGGTCGGCCTCCAGCCAGCTCTCCAACAGGCGGCCGAACTTGGCAGGACGCACGTCCAGATCTGGGGCAGGCGCAGCGGTCACCATCGAGAGGGTACGTCCGCTCACTCTCACCCGCCCAATGCACTAGGGCAGGCACAGCGGCCACCATCGAGAGGGTCCATGGTGACGCTCACTGGACCCGCTGTCGGTGTCATATCTGTTTTCATTATCGCCGCTCACTTGTCCTCTCCTGACAACCAGCGTTGTCAAGAGGACAACTGAAATGCTTGAGCAAGCAGGCCAACAACGCATCCCTAGCAGGGAAATGACACTGGCACAAAAATGCATTGATATTAAGCTATGAGAAGAAGAGTACGAGTTACCAAAATAATTTTATAAATCCTGCTATATGGCTGCAATGATCGTAAGGTTCACGATATTCTGATCCGGCCTTGAACTTTTGCACACAAAGTACTCTACCGGACCCCGCGATCCATCGCCTGTGTTTTCTGATTATTCTGACGTACTTGGCACTTCTGGTCTTCGAGCCACTAATCATCTCTCTCGTCTTTGTTCTTCCAATTTTAAAAATAGTCCATTTAGCAACTGTTTCTGAGTTTGATTGATGGGAGCGCGTTTTGCTTTCCTGTCTTTAAACATTCTCGTAAGCGGTGCTTACGTAACAGACACATTATGAACCTGTGAAAACGCCTTCTGACCCAATTCGGCCAGTGTGTTCCTGGCGCTAGACTGGTCACGCCAGACTTTTCCGGTGGGTCTGGTACATCTAGACGCACTGATAGTCTGCCTTGTATTTAATGTGTTGATATAATGCAGAGACTTATGCTATCGCTTTCCTTTTGCTCTGCAGTAGTGGACTGAGAACACTTGGAGTCTTCATATTCATCATTTCTCTTCCCTTTCCCCCAAAATGAATCATGATCCAGATTATAATTGAGATATTGTATAGACAGAGAGGAAACTTTTTTAAGCAAGTCTCCGCGAGATGCATGGATCGTAATAGGAGCAAGTATCACCTACAAGATAACAGCCTCCTACCCGAATTTTCTCCCCATTCAAGAGGTTCTGACTGCATCGTCCGAATTGACACAAGATTTATGAAGAAAAGGCCACAATGGTCAACTTTTACCAAATGGTAAACATCAGTCTATTGACGCCTGAGCTACCAAGAACAGGCCGAATGAGACCAAGTCATCACCAACGAACTGGTTCTGATGTGACTAGAAGCCGATTGGCTAGGTCTACTAGCTTTCGCTCGCATCATCACAGATCCCGCGAAACTACTCGCCCAATGTATGGGGACCATAATGTTACAAAGGCATGACCACGACCCCATCAGGCTTCTCTCCACGTGACTTCACAGATCAGCGCACTTACGGTTTCTCACCCAGTGTCGAAGGTCGTCTCGCATACGGGACATGGGGAAGACGTAGTTCTCCTCCTCTGCCCACGTGACCACGTGACCTGATTCTGATGATATGGCCACCTTCTTGCCATCCCGCACCTCTTCTGTCACCTAAAACATGCAGCGTTATGTAACGAGTTACTTCGGAAATCTTTCGTCCACACGGCACCGCAAGAACACATTTTCAGAAGAAAGAAAAATACTGTCTTGCAGTCAATTCCAAAGTTAAATGACCGCATTCGCCCAACCTCAGAACGCCTGCAAATGAAGTCACTTCAGTTTTGATCGACAATGCTGACTTAAGTGCTGAAAGGATGAATGTTGCATTGGACAATGAGGTTGACCACCATGCATTCTAAAATTGGTAAGGCTAAATCTAGAAAATTACTACTTAATATATGCATTCAACACCCTTTCCTCATCTTTCAGTTCTAAAAATATATGGGGCGTGGTGTGGTCTAATGCATTTCGATAAGCTGAGACCAAAGACGACCGTCAACGCTCAATTTCAAAAAAAGATTACCCGCCCTCACCCAAGTTCGACGTAACACGAACTTCACGTGTTTCTGCCCAGGGCGTACATAGCATTCGTGAGTCACGTAAGTGATACCGAATACCAAAAATTAGCTACTTATCTTCTTTTCCACGTGCAACGCAGCGCGCTGTCATATGGAGTAGTCCTGCAATGTTGGTTACAAGCTATAGTAGACACGGACCTTGACGGTCTAGATGGTGCTAGCGTCGCACGCGCTACGGTTGGGTGAACCAATGGCCGTTGCTGGTGCTGCGCCAATGTCTGGCTATTTCGTGCCTCATGTACTGCGAGACGAAAAAAATGAATTTTGTTTGACCTCAAGTTGAAATACCAACATACGCGCCTGGCCAACAATATGTTTGCTAATAATGCCACTAAACGGTCGCTGGTATGGCAGCTCCGGTTTCTTTTCATACATTAAGAGCATTGTTTCGAGCAAACTATTTCGCGCAAGCACGACTGAACGCCACACAAAGTACAGTGCCGAACCAGCGTGCCTTCTCGGCTACCGACACACTTTTGAAGCGTGGTGTCTCCATGCACGTCTCCATTCTCCTCCGCGTTATCCTCAAACCCATACGTCACACTAGCGTGCCGTTTCGGTACTGACGTACGTACTGCTAATGTCTGGTGTGCTGTGCCACACCCAATCCACGGAGCGGGCTGCCAAGATGGCCACGCAGTGACCACCCCCGTGACCAGTGTTGTCTTTTTAGATCCAATCAAACGTTTTGAATGGATGGAGTTCTGGGGTCAAAGTTCAAGCTAAGCGTTGCCTGTTGTGCGAGCCCTTTCCCCATTATCCGACCACAGAATTCCAGGCTACCGGCAGAATTTGGCGGCCAAAGTTTAACGCGTCGCAATACCGGGCACGGTCCGTCCTGCGCTCTGACGCCCCTGCCCATTTGCCCAGCCGCTGCCGCCGGCCGCAGGCTATACCCGTCAGGGGCACATAAGAGCGCATCGAACGACTCACACCCACGCCGCCACGGGTGAACGGATCGGAAGGCAGGCGCTCTAGCCAACTGAGATCGGTGTTTGCCGCTGTCGTGGCATCGCTCTCAATAAGAGCGCGCTGCATGAGCGCCCTGAGCGCAGTTGCTGCGACTCGTGCGACGGAGCACACCGCGCGTTGGTAATTGCACTGCTAAATTTGCGTGGCGTTATGTCGTGCTTGTTTGACATGTACTGCTCGACAATGCAGCTTTGGTAAGACGCGTATCTCGTAGTTCCGGCTTTAGATACGAAACCAGTTTCCTCTATTTTTCCGTCTCAAAATACATGGAGCACGAGATAGCCAGACACTGGCACAGTACCGACCGTGGTCAATGGTTTACCCAACCGCGAAGCGCGCGACGCTGGCGCCATCTAGTAAGTGAAGATCCATGCCTACTGACTTCTTACCGATATTGCAGGACTACTCACCATGATAGTGTGCTGTGTTTCACATGGAGAGGAAAGCAAGTAGTTGCTTATTCATCTTCAATATCACTTATCTCACTCACAAATGCCATATACACTGGGGCCGACACACGCAAAGTTCACATTACGTTGAAAATGTGCAAGGGTCAGGGCGGGTAATATTTTTTATTGAATGCTGAACCACATCAGACAACGCCACGTCCTCGGATTTTCAGAGAGAAAAAAAAACAATTGAAAGCGAACCTTCGTACCATTCCGGAGCCAAATATAAACAGAGCAGTAACCAACCTGAGAAGGCGTAAGAAACGACTCATCAGGAACACTGTACCAGCCAGTGTAGCTGCCCTTCTGGATATACCCTCTTGAATCCAGAAGCCTCTGAAACACAACACACATACTAACACACAGCATATTGCCTTTTGCTTAGCAGTGTTTCAACTACAACAGATTACATCACATTAATAAAAAATTCTGTTGCAACACATCATACGAATGACCACCTGTTGTTCCGACCAGTGTCATTAGCACTGCAGTGCACCACGGTAGTGCAACATCACCATGAACAGCAGGATACCATGGGTAAAGTTCGGTTGGCGCCCTTGGATGAGCACATTGCAATCGAACCACAGGAATAAAAACACACAGATGCAGCGTCTTACTGCCTGACGGTGCCCAAAACCAGTTGGCCGTTATTTCAACAGGCGGGCCGCTTCCCCGGCGTCGCTGCACTTGGGGCCACGACTCTGGTCCGTGGGGAGGAGGTCGGACCCGACATACCCAGAAGTGCTGGACGGCGTGCGCGTGGTCCGGGTCCGTGGTGCGCACGTAGCGCGCGTACTGCACGTCGGCCGCCTCGAAGGCGCGCCGGAACTGCAGCGACACGCGCTGGCAGAGGGTGGCTGGTGGCAGGCCGGCGGCGGCCGCCGCCTGGCGCACCTTCTGGCCATGCTCGTCCGTGCCGGTGCTGAGCAGCGCGTCCCGGCCGCGCCGCAGCGCCGCGTACCGGGCGGCCGCGTCCGCCAGCACCGCCGAGTACACATGGCCTAGGTGCGGTGCTGGAACGGGCCCGGCCGTGAGCTAACGAGGAGGCATGACCCAGGTCCGGCAACAGGACGCCGCTCTGACAGGGGTTCGGCCGTGAGCTAACGAGGGGGCGGGGCCCAGGTCCAGCAACAGGACGCCGCTCTGACAGGGGTCCGGCCGTGAGCTAACGAGGGGGCGAGGCCCAGGTCCAGCAACAGGACGCCGCTCTGACAGGGGTTCGGCCGTGAGCTAACGAGGGGGCGGGGCCCAGGTCCAGCAACAGGACGCCGCTCTGACAGGGGTCCGGCCGTGAGCTAACGGGGGGGCGGGGCCCAGGTCCAGCAAAAGGACGCTGCTCTGACAGGGGTCCGGCAGTGAGCTGAAGAGGGGGCTGGGCCCGGGTCCGTTAACAGGACGCCGCTCTGACAGGGGTTCGGCAGTGGGCTAAAGAGCGGTCAGGACCCAGGTCCAGCAACAGGACACCGCTCTGACAGGGATCCGGCAGTGAGCTAGGACGCCGCTCTGACAGGGGTCCGGCAGTGAGCTAAAGAGGGGGCAGGGCCCAGGTCCAGCAAAAGGACGCTGCCTCTGACAGAAATGGCGTGTTTCCTGACTTGTAAACCCAAAGATGACATTTATTAAAAGGGGAAATCAGCTTTGGCTGGAACTTAAGATAAAATAGCACATAGAATGTAATTACATATTTGATGGAACTGGGTTGGATAGAACCAGAAATTGGATGGAATTTTATCTGCAATTGATGGAACACTACAAGGAATGTATACCCTGTGCCAATGACCAGTTCTGAACTCTGCTGCTAGTCACTCTGATTCTGAACTTTGGCAGCATGATACAGAAGTCTTACTAAGGAGCCATAACTTGCATACTTACCAGCGTCATCCTAAACAACCCATCACACAGGCAACAGGCAGTTCCCAGCCTCTCATCCTCTGTCTCCGCATGATTATCAAGTAGGTGATTGCAAAGGTATGTAGGCAGTTACCAGCATAAGCACGAGTCTTGTTGCTGAATGTGTCAGATCTTGACAAGATCCTGTTAGGGCAGTGTTTGGGCGACAATTTATGTTTTGGGCACGTTTTGAAACTGGGGCCCGGAATTCGTTCCTTGGGGCAAGTTAAGTTATTTCATGGCAGCTCATGGTACAATTACAGCAAAAATGGAGTCCTTTCGCGCTCCAGCCTGCCTTGCTTCTCGGAGGTCAATTCTGGGACCTGGACTAACGCAGCACAAAGCTGCTGCGTGAAACAGTCCTGACCCAGCCAAAGACAGGTCTGATGACAATGGTCAGAGGGAATGGAGGAGTGGTTGATGACCGGCCCATTCCTTCGACGATGCAGTGGTGAAGCTCGACCGCAATCAAAGTGCTCTGAAGAGGCTGTCGTGCGCTCGGTTCTGTTTGCACGTCACTGCACCTCAATATCTGTGGGTGGCGAGCAGACATCGCCAATTGGCAGAAGTAGACAAGATATCCGAAACAAAACCCAGAGATCGCTGCAGCATTTCATTTTGTTGTTTTTACGATTTAGTTCCAGCCTCTCGATTGGACAAATGCCTGGGATCGACGCCCACGCCACATGGTACCGGTTGCGCAGTCCTGGCACCACCATCCGATCGTGAAACTCCGGGTCGACATAATCTTACGGAGAAAGCTCACCGTGCCTTACAGTGCTTGGCACTGGCTTGGCACAGTGCTTGGCACCACCGTACAGTGCGTGGCACTGTACATCCTGCCCTGAGGGCAGGACCCCTCGGCGCCACTCGACCTTTCCCGCACCTGCTGTTACAGTCGGGAGCTAGCCCGGGCCAAATCATGAGCATATGAACCAACTCGACTCCCCGCTACCAGTACGTGAATCAGAAAGCAGATGCTCTAACCAACTGAGCTGTTGGGAAAACTGCGGATTGAATGCAAGAGAAATATCAGCTGTTACTTTTGCAGGCAAGCTTAAGCCTTTGTGGGAAAGCAACATTGGCACCTCTAAAAAAAGAACACTAAATTCTGAATTAATAACCAGAAAGCATAATGCTGCCTTTTTATTGACAGTGACATCTAACTTTCATTTGGGAAATATGACTGCACCAGCACAATCAATGTTTTAGTATATCGACGGATTTTGTGTCCCACAGGTCAGAACGCGAGACTCAAATAGGATTTCTGAAGTACTCAGAAGGCTACGACGCAAGGTGCATCTCAATATTGAGCCCCAGTCAACCAAAGTACATGACTAGCTGTGCCAGTATATGATTTCAATGCTAAAGAGTTGTTCATCTTAAAGCAAAATGTTGCATGCAAAGACCTCAGTGCAGCAGTGGTCTAGTCATTCTTTATGCGCTGGGGTCAGAAATAATTGAAAATGTCAGATGGATAATCTGATTTTGTTACACTCTCCTGCTCTGCACTCTGCATGTCATTTTGTTTTAACATGTGTTAATGACCTTCCCAAATGCTGATGCAGGCCTGCCAAAAATTTAACTGAATTGTTGCTATTTCCTTTTACAGTTCATCTTCACAGTTTACTTTGTAAGAGCACCTTAATTTGGATTCACTGCCTCATGGCAGAGAAGGTCCAAGCCACTTCATGCCCTAATTATTGAGCCCCTTGGAATGGACTGCGGGTGGCAGCACAGGGTATGGTAAAAAGTCAAGGCAGAGTCAGAGAATCCAACTCCCATGCCCTGGGATCCTCTGACGTAAGTTAGAGGATCGGAGGATCCTAGGGTAAGACAGGTGGTGCCAAGCATTGTGGCATGTCAATATTTTTTGTGATGTTGGGCTCACAAATTAGGTACCACTTAGCTTGAACACTGATCCCAGGAAAATATCCAATAAAAAGGTAAGGACAAAAATTTAAAAACATAGACTGACTGGCATGAAACAGTGAGAAAATGCTATCTGGGTGGATAGGATGAGTGAAAAAATCTGAGTTTGGTGATAAAAATGTGCTAGTTTAGAAAAATGCCTCCAGCTTGCATCCATTTCCTGACATTTCAGACAGCCCAAAGGCTGAGTGACTTGCATTTACGGTAAAGGTTGGGGAGTTCTAGCTGGCAAGCCACACCATCCAAAGAACGCTCTCGTAGCCGGGGAAGACAGCACAACACGCATGGTAAGTTGGCGTTTGTACCTGCATTCACGTAAAATATAGGCGTCGTCACAAAGTATTTCATATCAACAGATGGTAAACTTCTTTCAAAGCAGTTGAGCTGAACCCTAAGCAAAGCGCACACCCCTGCCGCACACACCCTTCCACCCACTATAAATGTGAGGAGGTAGGGGATTCCCAAAGTTGCATTTATTCACCCGGCCTGTGACACGCCAGCCGATCGCGCTATCCAAAGCTCTCGAGGCCCGGCTGCGTGCTGTCCTTAACCTCCTCAAATGACGCAACATCGCCATAATTGCAACGCAACCATATACTATAACGGAAAACCTTTGTCTGCTTCCAAATCGACAAACGAAAAATGCAGATTTATGGCTACCAGCTTGAATAAATGATGCGAATAAATCCATTAACTTCATCATTTTCATCTTAAAATATCTTCAATCTAATACAGAAGAGTTTTTTTATTGAAAATGCATGCTATGCCACCAGGTAATCGTACAGCATTCTGCCGCCGCAAATGTTTTCCCTCGTGTTTTCATCACGCTGTCAATGGTTCTGTTGTGAACGCAGATACCAGGGCATTAGAACACTGAGGGCGGCCTGTCGTGGGTGTGAATCACTTCAAAGGCGGGCGCGAGGCTGCCCCGGACGTGGTTGTGTTGAACCATAGCGAGTAAGTATCGAAAGGCAATGGAAACCTAACTGGCGTTGTGAAATAATTCCCATCGAACCGAAACACTGGGAACGCGGCGGTATCATCTGTGCTGTTTACCAATGTCGCCCGGGCGGGGGCCTGTGCCCTGATACCGCGTTTCCAGACCCGAAAGATCCGCGGGTCGGTTATGTGGGCAATTTAGAGGGTGAAGCAGTAAAGCTGCGTGTCTGGGAAACCAGAAGTTTGGAGTTCGATTTCCCGCAGTGCCTGCCCTTCCTGCCAGGGTGTAGGGCAGATAACACTACATAGTCTCAGCAGCTGAGTGCATCATAAAACCCCAATGATGAGGGGCTTTAGGGGCAATAGGGGCTGTGGTGGACCTTATGGAAAGGGAAATTTGTCATAAGTTAAATCCAAGTTGTCTCTTGGACCATACAATATCCACTCAAGGTTCAAGGGCCAAACTGCATGCACCACACTTCTGTGACTGTTGCGGTAGACAAAGAGCAAGCATGTGTTGGACCCCAGGCAAAACTGCATAGAATTTTCAAATGAATAATGCTGAATAAATACTTTTAATTACTTGAAGAGCATCATAGCTCCTTGAAATATTGGCTATGCAATGAAAAGGATGGTGACTGCACTAAACTCATTGTCTTACATTTACAGTCTGTGTACTTCATAACCATTTCTGTTGTGTTGCTGGTTCTCTGAATATTCAGCATAGCATGCAGTTGATTGGCAGTGGCCAAGTCAGATATGACTGGTAGGCTGTTATAGTGATTATCTAGTAGTGGCATCTGCTCATGATCTTTTCACAAATAAACAATGGTGAAGATCACTAGTTGTTTGTGTAACTGTCAGCTATCATTTTAATGTACCCATTTATATGTTTCAAGATGAACACATCCATGTTGTTTTGCTATTAAATTATGCTGACAATATGTCAAAACTGGTATCCATCCTGTGCTCACCTTGACACTCATCATACAAACCACTTAATACTGGCATATGCATGCTGAGGTAAGAGACAATAGGGCATATGCAAGAGCAAACCATGCAGATGGCATGGAACAACCATTGGCATCAGTGTTGCCTTGATGACATGAAGTGTGCTGAATAAACCATTACTAGGCAAACTTATTCAACTTATGAAAAGATCAGATTATCTTATTAAAGCATGGCATATGTTCCTGTCAAGGTGATAACATGTTATACATTTACTTGAGCCATGCAGGATTACATTCTGTTCATTGAAAACAAACTTGTGATGTATGTTGCATATCTTTTCTTAGAAAGGCCCCTGACTGTTCTTCCTGATGATCTGAATTTTTGTGGACCATGGATGTTTGGGATCAACTTTAACAAGGATAGATAATGCACTAACTAGATATAGACAAATGGTTATCATCAATAGATGCCACCACAGATGGGAATCCATTGTCTTGGCATTTCTCAGAAGTTTTTACTGGTACTGACTCAATTATTTTTCATTGTGAATATGGAGAAAAGTGCAGATAGCAAAATGAACCTGTTCATGCATGATGGTTAACTGTATTGCATTGTGGCTGAATTTCCTGATGAGAGCATTTGATTTGATGTGATCTCAGCTCCTGAGAGGCATCAGGACCTAAGGGAGGGCATGTGCTTGTTTTCTATGCCTGTGATATGCCTGATTCAGTTTTTTTACATGAAGCATTGCATGAGCCATCAGAAGCCAATATTAACTTTAAAGCATGTTTATTTATATTGTAATATGAGATGAAGAGATTGGATTTTCTGTGTGCTGCACCTGGAACAGCAGCATGATTGAAAGTATGTGTTGTTGTGCACAAAATATGTGTTGAATGTTGTTATTTGGGATGGACTCATCATTGATTCCAGGCAATATGGTTGACTTCTTCTGACCTCTGCAAGGCTTTGAGGGAAGCACTGCATTCTTAAGGCATGCAGTATGCAATCATTGCAGCCTCTTCAGGACCAGACCCACCAAAAATTTAGCTGATTCTGGAGTTTACTCTGCCTGCAAGGAACCAAACATGGACACATTGGCTTCTGCCAGCATCTGTTGTTTTTTTTAAAACAATTTTCTCTTGATCCTCTCATCTAAACAGTTCTTCTAGAATTACACCTTGTCATGCTGGGCTCAAAGCATTGATTGTGGCCCATGCATTTGTGTCCTGCTCAATGCACATCATATTATTTCCCAATTTGGCTTGGGTTTATGTTTCAGCAAATCATTGTGGAAACACACTGACATTAGGGGTTAAGGGGTGATCTTTTTTAACTTGCCTTTTCATGCTTACCAATATATCGTAAATTGTGACCTTATGAACCCTATATCGTACCGGGGACTCCACAATTTAATTTTATCATTAAATTTTATCATTTCATTTGCAGTGGCTTGCCTTTGGCAGGTAGTATGCTCATGTCACTCTAGTATGTGCACTGATGGAATGATTATGTTCCTCACAAATATTGCCTTCAGGGTTTGGCATATTCATATAGTAGCCCAAGATTCATTTGCCCACCCCATGATAAAATTGTTTTATTTATTAATATTTGTTTGAAAAATGTAACACTGACAAATTTGGGAGTGCGCACTTAGAAATTAGCATATCAGGAACAAGCCACGCTGCTTTGACCCATGCAATAAATACGTACGTCTGCGGCGCGCCGAACCAGATTTTCAGTGTAAGAACTGAGTTATGCTGTCCCCTTCCACCCTTCCCCATTGTGAACCCCTGTGTATGCCCCTACATTCAGAAAACCATATTTTTATGGGAGCTGACATGCTTCAATATTTTTCAGGGTCCAGGACCCTCCATCATGGCTGGGAGCGTGAAGGCCCTGATCCTGCTGGCGTTCACCGGCTCGCTGGGCATGATGTTCATGCTGCTGGCCTGTGCGCTGCCCCGGTACAACAACTGGTGGCCCCTGTTCGTCATCATATTCTACATCCTGGCACCGATTCCGTACTCGATGGCCCGCCGCTACCGGGATGACATGGGCGCCAGCAGTAGTTGTTTGGAGCTGGCCGTGTTCTTCACGGCCGGCATCATCATTTCGTCGTTCGGTTTACCCATTGTGCTAGCGCATGCGCCCTCCCTCCAGCCAGTGATTGAGTGGGGTGCCTGCGCGCTGGTTATGACCGGCAACGTGGTCATGTATCTGACCATCCTCGGCTTCTTCTTGGCCTTTGACGGCGATGCCGACTCGTGGAACTACTTCTAGCCGCGGCGCGACGGCTGGCGGCCGCGGTACGCGGGCCACGGGGCACGGGGAATGGTCCGCCTGATGTCCGCGCATCCAGGGCATTGGCGCGCGGCGGCTGGGGGCTGGGGCGGTCAGGCCGTCCGACGTCGACTACGGCAGCTGCCTGAGGCCGCGGAGGGCCGGCGGCAGCGAGGCGCCGGCAGACTGGCGGCAGTCCGCGCCGCACGCGACGTGAGTGATAGTTGGTATCTCTTTTTTGTGATCTGTATACCGGTCATGCTTTTGTATCGTGGTTTTTGTTCCGCATGCACTTTTCTGCACGTTGTTCAGCCCTGGGTCGCACTCCGCACGTGTACGTGGCGCGGAGGGTCTGTAAGCGTGCTCGCCGTCGCGCCGAGTTTGTTCAGGATGTCTGAGCTTTAACCGTGGCTGCCCCTCAATGGTGTGCTATCCAGTCTGCACTGACGGAGGCTATTCGTGGTCTGGTATTAACTGCTTGTCGTACTGACGTGTATCGTTTTGAATTGCGTTTTCATGGTTTAAACTTAAGCAGCAATTTTCCACGTGAGATTTAATACAATGGATAATAAACATGCTTAGAGTGTTTTTGTGTGTCTGGTTCAGGGAAATGGTGCACAACAGCAGTGAGGGACATTACGTTAACAATGTCTTGCCATTGGTGGCTGTTTCGTCGGCTGTTACTCGAAATGACGGTTACCTGAAGGCGTGCTTTGTGAGCAGTTGGGTGCTAGGACTTCACACATGTCGGTCCCCTTGAGATCTCACACGCGATGGTGGCTCGATCCAATGCCGCTCCGGGGCCTGTCTGCCCAAGCGTGTTGGCGTGCGGGGCCTGAGCGGCGTGCCGGTCGCCTCGGGGCCTTGCCCTGAACGCGCCGTGCCCTGGAGGTCTGTGTAACTCACCAGTGCGGGTCAAACGGGCGGCGGCGGTTCTGTGCGCCGGCGGGATTGTGGCCACCAGCGTGTGTCCGGGGTGTCCGTCAGGCGGCGCACTCTGCGACGCTTGCAGCCTCCCCCGCTGGACACCGTCGATACGCGCGCTATCCCCGCGTGCGGTTAGTGACAGAGTTCTAGGTCTTGTGTTATCTCCGTTTTGTAAGCTTCGAAACGTTATACTGTCCACCATCTGACAACCTTGCGTATAGTTCTTCCCCGCCGTGATCGATTCAGAATCCGATTTACAGCGTATGATGCTGATTCCGAGCTATACTTCGGCTGCGACGCTAGCTCTGCACAGAGCACTTCAGCCAAGCCCCATTTAGAATGCAGGTTTGGCGAGACGTCACACAGTTTCATGATTGATTCCGTTGATGTCGATTTAGGTGACAATGGTGTCGGAGATGAATGAGCTTTTACTGTGTTAAAGCGTGCGTTGGATATGTGGGTCGTGAAAAGATATCAACGTGTACAGTGCTCCATTTGCTACACAAAGACATCAGGATCAAAATTTCTGCTCCTCATCGAACTTGGTAGATAATCTACGATGCTGTTGACTTGACCTCGGCCCCGGCTGGCATATTTCACAATTTTCTAATGGATCCATTTGACTTTGGGTAAATGAAAGCTTTGCTGTTAAGTGGCTTTGACTTCAAATTTCATTCGTGTGAGCGACGTTTCATTGAAACGCATCGGTGTAAACTGCGAGCACGATGCAGTACATCTGTTCCCGGTATTTGAGATAAGTCGTCGATATATGCTGATGTTATTGGTCTGAGACGAGAGCGCCGGGCCAAGGCTTGGGCCGAATCCATAGTACTGATGCCATCCAGTAGATGTCTCTGGCATCGGGTACTTCGAACACAAGCTGCGTTTGTTCGCACGTGAAGAGGGACGCAGTCGAGAGCTTTTGACGCGGATGTGGGGGCTAAGTAGAGCTCATACACCGATTTTAGTTTTTTGCACGATGACATCTACGGCGCTAAAAAGTGTATTTCGGGCTGTGCCCGCCTCCTCAGCTTCGCCTCTACTCGTGAAGACTGGCAGAGGCCTTGAGATGAATATAACGGTATAAACTGACTCCAATGCAAACTTGTTATGCATCTAGATATAAGAGTTCTGAGTCAAATCACATGCTCCTTATCAAAGACAAGCAAAACACCTACATTGTCGGCTTTTCGGTGTGCGTGCAGAAAAGTCGAGATGAACGATAGGCACTAATGACACGACATTATTGGAACCAGAGTGCTCGTCACTTAAAGTCTACCACCATTGTTCCAATTGATCAGCCGCCCCGAAAAACATGCCTGCACGTATGATTGCAAGGATATTTTGCTATACACTGCCTATATCACGTCACAGAAGTGATCTAGCTCGGCGTTTCGGGGTCATTTAGCTTATGATACACCGCCCGCTCGTTGAATTATGTGCTGGCTTCGAAAGTGAGCTTCTCTGTGCACCCTACATACCGCATGAATGTGGACCAACGACTGAAAAATACACCATGCACCAGGCCAAATTTTTTGGCGTCACTTTCATGCGTGCATCACGTCCATATCCAGTACTGGCCTGGATTTCGGAATTTTGACCAGTCCGAAAAGCATTCTGCTTTGACCGTGTGCTCGGCGTTGCAAGGTGCTTCACTGCGCTCAAATGTTTGTATGAATTGAAAGTAGACAACTGAACAGTTTTAGAAAGATGGTCTCTGTTGCTTTCGTAGTTACACTACCAATAAAATAAAACTGGGTCACTGTGGGACAGTGAGGAAATGATTTTACAAGGTAGTTTATCGATCCTGGGGTCATTACTCTTGCTAGATTTAAGTGACTCTGTGGTGCTTGCATGTGGCTTTGTTAATGATATATATCGTACAATGATCTCAGGAAAAGAATCTTACGACTACTGTGGCTTGGGCTAGACGATAAGCAGCTACCTGGTGACATACACGCATTCCTTTCTTATGTATATTGGAATCCTCCCATGAACAAAGTTACGCCTCGCAGCATAGACCAGTAACAGGCCATCGCCGCATGTTTATAAGTGGTACATTACCATTCCGACCGTTGTGCTTTAGACGCGCCTGCACGAGATCAAAACATGCCACCACCCAGGCACCTATTCACTTATTCCCAGTTGTTACTGATGCCATCACCAGGCGTTAAATGAAGAAATCCGATGCCGATATTGATAATCCGATATTGAAAAACCCGTCCTTTTTAGGCCGCGGGAGGAGGAGAATGAAATTATTTCTTTCCCTTTCCTCGATCTGCGGCTTTGAAAGTTACAAGGTAAACTCGAAACCTCTTTTTATAGAAAGCCCACGCTTAATGGCTTTTGAATAGGCCATTTCTCATTTACTCCCGACGCTTTTAAGCTATGTGGTAATATGAAGCGATTCTAAAATCATAAGATCGATGACATTGCTGCCATTACTGATGGCCCAGATCATTTTTTTCAGGGAAATGACTTCCCACTCTTAATCATTAGTATATTAATGAAAAGCTTCTTGGATGTGAAATATGTAAAAACACCACCGTTCATGAAGTCCTAGAACCAGCTATATATTCGGTCTTGTCCTTTTCTCAGAAACGGTCGAAGCAATTGAAAAAGGAGCTTGCAAACATGCTGCATTGTTTTTACCATTTTCTGTCCATTTAAATCATATAAGCAAATTTGTCGACTGTTGTACCTTTTGTAAGTTAGAAGACAAACTTGCCAAATGTTCTGTCTCTCTAGTCATTTGTAGATACCGATGTGCTTCCTGCGGAACGTTTTACGTGAGTTTAACCCTTCGTGGTTTGCACTGTAGGGAGCGGAAACATTTTGGGAAGGTCTGATCTTGCAGGTTGCATTCTGTTTAACTCACACCTCTCGCCCATCCGAGACTGTTTACTTGCGTGTGACACTCTTTTTGCGTCTATTTGCCTGTTTACTTCGACTCGCTTGCGTGCTTGAGTGAAGCGTGATGCGTGATGCTTATTTGCTTGAATTTGTTTGCATGCACACGCATGTTCGCGCATTATAATTCTTAGATGGGGACTATATCGTGGTAATGGCTGGCAATCGCCCTTTGTTTAATCCACTGAATGATGGTGTCCTGTGAAAACTGTGGCTTGCTGTTTCAAAACGAAAGGAAAAATTGAGTAGGATCATCGGCAGGCAATTTTGAACTCGCTTCCGCTATTCTTTGGATAACGCATGTTGCCGAAATATCAACCCAACTATATCTCCAGTCTCCTGGTGTTCTCCGAGGAATAAGGCTAATATTACGGTCTGATCTGCGTGTGACACTCACTTAAACACTGCAAACTTTTCTGTGTTAGAGTGTTGCAGCAATTTCCTCGATCTTAGGATTTTAGAATCACTTCACATTACCTAAAAAGCCGTCAAGGAATATCATGGGGTTTGCACGTCTTATACAAGTTATAAGATAGCCTTCTTCGTCAGCCAAATATATGCATCGTCGTGTGATTTTTGTATTTTTCAGGATGTCCTGTTTATGCAAAGAGTAGTCGTATTCAATTTCGTTGATTGTGACAGTTGTCATGTCGAGCGACACCGGTTTAATGCGCTTATATTTAATCACAACTTTGTACCATTGTGCCGCTGTCCTGAGACGGTACGCAATGTTTCGAAACGCTAACGAATTGCATGAATTATAGCGACTGCTGCCCTTGCCATCAAGTTTTTAATGCATCTTGATATCCGAGGATGATATTGAGCACCGTATTCAAAATATTGGCTTTGCAACGTACCTAATGCTAATGTTTTCAAAAAGGTAGTAATTTTGATATTTTGTAACACTGAGCCTCACCCGAAATGTTTCGGAACTTTCTATTTTCTCCGAACTGAAACATGATATGATAAGTGTTAGGTAGCCTTCCCAAACAGCATATTTTCATAAAGTTTGGTTGAAGAATAAGACATCCCCCAGAAAAATGAACTCTCGAAGGGAGTGTTTCACATTTGTATGCGACTTGAAACTCAGATAGCCATTCTGAAGATTACTCGGTGCAGGTCATAGCTCTGCACGTGGTAAGGCCAAAACCATTTTAGTTTTTAAGCTGCACGCCCGCGAATAAGTGCAGATATTTTGTGCGGGCTTTTTCAAGGTCACTTGGGCATCCGTGACGCCATAACAACGTCATTTAAATCTTGCTACTCCACCAGCCATGCTGGGATCAAGGCTATGCAAAAAAATATTGTCGAGTCGTTCATATCTAGCGTTCGTGAGCACGATTTCCAGATATAACGACCGTCAATTGGTTCCCAATCAATGTTGTGCAAGGTACAATCAAACGGCGGCGTACTGAGTAGCATATTTACTAAATAGAGAAAATGTGCTGTCAAGAGCAGTCTTTTCCACTTAAAAACATACCCATACTTATAAGTGGGCTTACCTTATCACCTTTCATGCTTACTTCCATGTCTTCGAGAGTGAAACACTCCTTTTAAGGGCAATGCTTCGCCTTGCATTCCCTTCAAACGGATTGCCACACGTTTCAAAATGTTGAAGCAGGCATTAGGCATGATGAAATAAGCCTACTTTTAACTACTGCTATGTTCTTAATTGGAGAAGACTGGTCTAGGCAACACAAGCCCTTTATAAATAAATATTATATATATATATATATATATATATATATATA